TATACTTCAAGAATTATCTGACTCCATGAGGAAAGGACATATAAAAATTCTAGGCACCCCAGAAGGAGACAAAAGAGAGACAGAGAAGGTAACTGAAAAATTATTTAGATAAATAGTAGAAGTGAAAGGTCGATGCAGGAGGCAGGAATGCAAAAGCCCATCAGGGGCAGGAAGCCCACCAGGGGGACAGGAATGAGGAAGACCACCTAGAAAAATCAGACAATAAACCTATTCCTGCCCTACAAATCTTTTTGCACACTACAAATTTTTTCCTGCCATGCAAATCCAGTTTCCCACCTGACCTCTCCTCATCCTATAAAGCCTGCCTCCCCCTGGCAACGTGCGTGACTTCAGTGACCCCCACCTTGGGTCTGTGAATCTCATCCGGGGGCACAATAAAGTTTTCCAGCCTGTGAGAAACTTGGCCTGGCTCTCCTTTTCTTTACTGCGTCGATTCATTCATCTTGGTGCCAAAACCTAGGAAGGCTGTGTCCCCTGGTGCTGGGGCCACCTTCCCGTCCCTGGGACCTCTCCTCTCTATTGCAGATAACTCACATCCACCACTGGCCTTTATTCTCGGGGTAAGTCACCTGCTGACCCTCCTTCCTAGGAGGCCCTCACCTCTGGCTATCAGGCTCCTCTCCTAATCCCCTACCTCGGTCGGCTGTTCCATAAACTGTGGGCCCACCCACATCAGCCAACTCCCGTTACACCTAGACCCTGAATTTGTGGACTAGGTGCCTGAATCCTAGGCAACAAAGAAGTGGTGGAGATGTCCCTCTTGCTTGTTTGTTCCTGTTCCAAAGGCCAGGAACAGGGCCTTCCTTTTGTGGGAAGCCGTGATTTGGGGTCTGCACCCGCAACGGCCAGATCAGGTTCATGGGATTCTGTATTCCTGATTCTGTGCCCCTGTTAGTTGGGAAAGGAGCCGACTTAGCCATGGGGTCTGCCAATTCTAAGCCTGAGCTGGCCACCCCACTGGGATGCCTTCTCTCAAATCTCGGTCCATTGGGACTTGGGCCAGATATATGCCCTAAGCATCTCCCCTTTTACTGCAACAATGTTTGGCCCCAATATCAATAGGACAATGACTCTCACTGGCCGGAACATGGCACTTTCGATTTCACGGTCCTTGTAGACCTAAACAATTTCTGTCACCGCAATGGAAAATGGTCAGAGATCCCTTATGTTCAGGCTTGCTTTCTTTGTGTTCCCATCACTGCCTCCTGTCCCTCCCTCCTGAAAACCTGCCATACTTTCCAAGTCTCAAGACTCCTCTCATTCATCGCCCTCTCCAGACCCCTCTTCAACATTCTCTGATCCTCTAGATTCCTGTCTTCACCTCCTTCAGCTCCCCAATCCAGCCCATCACCCTCCCCCCCACTTTCATCTCCTAGCCACCACACCTGATCTTGCGAGCCTCCTCTTTTCAGCCCCCTTAGGGAAGTGGCAGGGACTGAAGGAGGAGTTAGAGTCCATGTTCCTTTCTCTCTGTCTGATCTCTCCCAAACTGAAAAGTGTCTTGGCTCTTTCACTAATGATCTCACTACCTACACCAATGAATTTTGTTATCTTACCTAAGCCTATGACCTTATGTGTCATGATTTACATGGTATCCTCTCGTCCACCCTGACCTCTGACAAAAGGGAATGTGTTTTCGGTCTGCCCAAGACCATGTAGATCAAGTCCACTTAACTGACACAACCATGTCCCCAGGCTCTGAAGCAGTTCCCCACCAGGATCTGGGGTGGGACTACCAGACTGACACAGACACAGACGTGGGCCACCGGGGCAGGGCTCACCGAGACCATTTTATTACCTGTCTCCTAGCTGGTCTCCAAGTGGAGGTGCATAAAATTGTAAACTTTGATAAGCTCAGGGAGATTATCCAGTATGCCTCAGAAAACCCTGCTGCCTTCCTTAGCTGCCTCACTGAGGTGCTCCAGCTCTATACCAGGCTTAACCCTGACTTGCCTAGAGACGCCACAGTTCTGGCTACCCATTTTATATCTCAGTCAGCCCCTGACATTAGAGAAAAGCTTAAGAGGGCTGAGGATAGTCCTCAAGCCCCTATCCAGGATCTGCTGAATATGGCCTTTATTTAGTAACCAGGAGGAACAGGACAGGATAGATAGAGATACCCATAGTCGCCAGAAGGCTGAGCTTCAAGCTCAGGCCCTTGTAGCTGCCTTGAGACTGTCAGGCCCTGCTCCTCCAATGACCGCAGTGCCTGCCGCCTGACAGAGGACGACAATGGGCCCCATGGGATCCAATCAACCACCACTGGGAGCCTGCTTCAAGTGTGGGCTGAAGGGCCACTGGTCCAGACATTGTCCCAAACCCCACCCTCCACTAGGACCGTGCCCCATCCGCAATGTCCAGGGTCACTGGAAAAGTGACTGTCCTTCCATGCCTGGCTGTGGTGGGCCTGTCCTTCTAGCCTCATGCAACTCTGCCACTGGTGGTCTTGGGTTTGGCGGCTGAGGACTGAGAAGGACCAGACTTGTCAACCCGGATAACCTTTGAGGAGCCCAGGGTAACAGTGAAGGTAGCAGGTAAGTCCATCTTCTTTTCTGGTTGACATGATGAGGGCTAACTTCACTGTCCTCCCCTCTTATTCTGGTTAAGCTTGTCCTTCTCAGGTCTTGTTTATGGGTGTTGATGGCCTTCCTACTCAGCCCAGGACGACTGGACCCCTTCAATGTCAGCTTAACAATAAGCCCTTAGTTCACTCCTTCTTTGTCATGCCTTCTTGCCCCACACCTCTCCTGGGTCGCGACCTCCTGACCAAACTCGGGACTACTCTCTCATGGTTCGAAGACCCCAGCACTGTTCTCATCCTCCCACTACTTCAAACATCTCCTAATCCTTCTCAGGACTACCCTTGTCCCCTTCTACTGTCAACTCCGTAGTACGGGATGTCTCTACCCCAGTTGTTGCCACCATCATACCCCAGTCCTCATTTGCCTTAAGGATCCCTCTTCTTTTCCCTCTTGCCCCCAGTTTCCAATCTCCCTCACTCACCGTCAGGGCCTCAAACCATCATCCAACAACTCCTGGGAAAGGGACTCATTACTCCTATCAGCCCGCTCTGTAATACTCCCATCCTCCCCGTTAAAAAGACTGACGGTTCATATTGCCTAGTTCAATACCTTCGCCTCATCAATGAGGCGGTGGTGCCTACCCATCCAGGAATGCCAACCCCCTACACCCTCCTAGCTCATATACCATCTTCTACCACACACTTCTCTCTATTTGGCTCAAAGATGCTCTCTTTACCTTCCCTCTGGATCCTCAATTTTACTTCCTGTTTGATTTTACTTGGGAAGATCCGGACACACACACACCTCCCAGCAACTGGCCTGGACAGTCCTGCCTCAGGGGTTCCGGGACAGCCCTCATCTGTTTGGTCAGGCATGAGCTAGTGATCTCTCGTCATGTCATACTCCACCCCGCACTCTCCTCCAGGATGTTGCTGGCCTCCTGTGCAGTCCTTCTCCGCCACAATCTCAGCAACACACTGCACAACTCCTCACCTTCCTGTGCTCCAAAGGATACCGCGTCTCCCCATCCAAAGCCCAACTTTCAGTTCCCACAGCCGTCTATCTGGGTCTTTGACTAACTCTTTCCTCCAAACAGCTGACGGTGGACCACAAACAGGCCATCCGGGACCTTCCCTCCCCTGAATCGGCAGAACAAATCCTTTCCTTCCTAGGTTTGGTCGATTCTTCTGTCACTGGATCCCTAATTTTGCTTTCCCAGCCAAGCCACTGTACGACACAGCAAAAGCCTCCCCTGAAGGACGTCTCCAATCCCCCGGGGAGGTCCGCAGGGCCTTCCTTTTACTCACACATATCCTCCTTAGGGCACCTGCCCTTACCCTTCCTCATCCAGAAAAGCCTTTCCTCCTGTGCACAGACGCACGTCGGGGTATGGCGGCAGGCGGCCTTTCCCAGCCTCTAGGCCCAGCCCTGCGTCCTGTCACTTCTCTCTCCAAGCAGATGGATCCCACCGTCAGGGGCTGGCAACCTTGCCTTAGAGCCCTGGCGGCGGCAGCTCTACTCACCCGGGAACCCCTCAAACTTACTCTGGGAAGACCTGTCCAAGCACATTCCTCGTACCGCCTTCAGGCCCTCCTGTCTCCCCGCCCGCTCTCCACTCTCACTCCTGCCCGCTCACAGAACTTCCATGTGCTCTTTATCGAAAACCCTCTGGCGAGTCTCACTCAGTCAAATTCTCTCAACCCAGCCCCTCTTCTGCCTGCCTCTGGCCCCCCTTCTGTCACCCATTCGTGTCCTGAAATCCTGGAAGAAATGCAAGACTCCAGACTGGATTTGGCTAACTCCCCTTTGTCCGATGCCTACTGGATGCTATTTGTAGATGGCAGCTCTTACATAGATGTGCCAGGTCAGCAGAGGGCTGTCATTGTTACTGTCAATCTGGTAATGAAGGCAGGAAAGCTGCCTGGAGGAACCACCTCCCAAAAGGCAGAACTCATGGCACTTACTGGGGCCCTGACCCTCAGCAACCATAAGAAAGTCACCATCTATACGGATTCAACTTATGGCTCACAGTCATGCTGCGATTTGGCAGGAAAGGAGGTTCCTTTCCACCCAGGGGTCCCCCATCATTTACGCTAAACTTATCCTTAAGCTTCTAGCGACCTTGCAGCTTCCAACAGAAGTCGCCATTACCCACTGTAAAGGACACCAAACTGACAATTCTTTCATAACCACAGGGAATAACAAGGCTGATGCAGCAGCAAGGGCTCCCACCACTGACTCTGCTGCAGACCCTGCCCCTATTCTCTTTCTATTGGTCTCCTCCATCATTCTGACTTATGAGCCTAATGAACGCCAATTCATCATGTCAAAAGGAGGAACTGAAATAGCCCAGGGCTGGATTATGATAAATAACAAACTGGCTCTGCTTGCCAAACAGGTGGACTTGGTCATTCAACAAGCCCTCAATACCCTCCACATCGGGCTGCGCCCACTTACCCAATTCCTGAATCCACTCTTCTTCCAGCCCTTCTTGAGTGCAAAAGTCTGGCAGCTATGTTCCCTTTATCAAACCTGTGCTCGTGGATCACCTCATGGGGGAGTTCACCCACCTTCTTCTTTTGCAGCTCACCAGCTGCGTGGACACTTACCCAGACAGGATTGGCAGCTTGATTTTACTCACCTTCCTACTCACAGAAAGGTTAAATATTTGCTAACAATGGTTGATACTATGACAGGTTGGGTAGAGGCCTTGCCTGCAGCTAGAGAAACAGCTCAGGTGGTAATTGAGGACCTTCTTAACCACATTATCTAGAGCCATGGAGATCTGTTGAGTAATCTTTGAGATGAAAGCTGGACCATTGTCAGATTGGAGAGATAATGTGGTTAACTCTAAATGTAAATGGATTAAACTCACCAATAAAAATATTACAGGGCAGGGAGAGGGGCAGCACAAACCCCGCAAACCTGCCTATTCTAAATAGGTTCTGCCATCTGCCACATCAACACAAAACATATGAAACTTTAATGGGAAGGAACTTTAATAAAACTAGGAAACAATACAGGAAAGGCAAAGAGTCTAGTTTCTAAATGAAGCACCCAAAGTTATCTGTCCCCTCATGGGTAAAACTCTATCCAAATGGGATTGGCCCAGAGCAAGGCTCCAAAGCTTGCCACAAGTCTAAAGCATCTTCCAGTGGGGACCCACAGCAAAGGGTCAGAAACAAGCCCAGAAGGAAAAGAGCAAAATCAAAATCAAGATAAAAGCTGCCATTGACACCTCCCCATGGGTCTCACCCACATCTGTGTCACCCAGTCCACGACCAAAAGACAAGCGCAGTTTCTTCACGTGTCTCTAGGTTCCATGCGCCTCCTCCAGGTCTCCTTCTGGCTCCATCCTGCTTCCTTCCTCAGTTTCCTCTGCAGCTTCTTCTCTTCCTGCTCAGCTCCACCCTCCCTTGGGTGGGGCAGGAAACCTGGAACCTCCCCCTTTCCTGGGGACCACCCTGTTACAAAAAGATACAGAGTAGCAGGCTGGGTTATAAAACAAAATCCAAGAGAGATCAACATGGCGGCAAGGAATCGCTGCAAATAAGACCTCCCATAAAAAAAGTTAATAGGAAGGAAAAGCGGCAGGTCCCTGTGAGAACTGGGACATGGAAGATAAACCGGTGACTCTGGCAAACTACCCAAAGAAAAAGTTGCCATAAAAGAGGACTAGAAGAGAGGAAAGCTCAGACCCCGGCCACCCTCCCCCACCCACCGGAGGGCCAACCAACAGATAGGAGGAAAACAAACAAACACAAACAAACAACAAGAACAAACTACACATCAACCAGGACTGTGAGTGGAAAGGAACTATTTCAGGCACCACACCCTGTGATCTGGAACTGTGGAGAATCTAGCAGAAATCACCACGGAGGTGAGTGAACACTCCGGGGCCATTAGAGGAAGATAAGGACTCCCTGGAGACCTACAAATAGCCCAAGGCCAGCCGGTAAGCTTATGCGGAAAAGTGGTGCGCTCAAAAAGCATATGCGGATTGCAGATCAAGGCTGCCCATGCCCAGGTCCCCATGCCTGCAACCTAGGCTTGCGGGGAGATGCACGGGAGCCCTCATTGAGGTGAATGTCCCTCACTGAGTAATCAGAAACCAGACACCCGGACATGGGAGCGGGGTGCAAAAGGCACCATTCTACAGACACTGAACTGGGCTACGGTCTGCATCCTGGATCTGAGGGCTTCGGAACTGAGACCCGGGGCATGAAATTCGGGGTGTGGGATCCCCATGATGGTGGTGCACAGGACAGACACAGCACCTCCACTCTGTTGAGGCTCTCCATGCCACTCCCACTCTGTTCCCTAGGACCCATGGGGCGGGGCTGGGGGGGTGGGGGAAACAGTTCTGAAAGGACACTAGCAAAGCTCTCTGTGGCACCTAGTGACCAGGGAAAAATATCACCAATATCCTCATAGTTGGAAACGGGGGATCCCAAAAACTCCCTCAGGCTCTGAGAGAGGATGGGCCACACAAAAGGGAGTAAGGAGGGATAAGGCGTGGAGCAAGACCCCATCCTGGAACTGAGAGCAAGGCACAGGATCCGGGGCGTGGGACGCACCATAGCAGCAGGCACTACACAGGGTGACAGCCAGCGTTTTGGATCAGAAAGCCCTGGAACTGAGACCTAGAGTGCAGAAGTCAAGGTGCAGGATCCATATAGCTGCGGGCACAACACCTGGTAAACACAGGGCAGACACAGCACCTGACTTGAATAAGAGCCCCTGTGTTGAGGTGCTCCCCTCCTCCCCACCTCCTCTACTCAGAGAACCACTGGGAAAAAGCACAGGTCAGCAAGTACGGGTCTTTGATGCCACCTTGTGATGAGAACAAAATCACCAACTAGCTGATTCCCTGCTGGAACTGAGTAAATACAAGAGCGGGAACTATAAGGGACAGCGCCCAGCAACACAGCATCAATACCCTGGTGGAGTTTTGGCCTACCAGTGCTGGTCTCAGTCTGGTTAACAGTTTCCGGCATCCCTAAAGGAGCACTCCAAAGAGATGCCCACCAACACCAGTGGCACAACGTCCCAATGCATAGAACTAATTAGAAAGCAAACAACAGGGAGAAGAAAAAATATAAATAACGAAGCAAGCCCTCAAGAGAACACACCACAAAAAGAAATACAGTCACCAGAGCTCAACAATGACATGGAAGAACTTCTCGGCCTATCAGATAGAGAATTAATGATCATCGTGATTAAAAAGCAGAAAGAAAATGAAAAGGAAAAAAATGATATGAGACAATAATCACTGAACTGAAGAATGAAATTGATACCTTAAGAAAGGAAAGAAAAGAAATGCAGGAGATTAAACAATGGTTTCACTTATAGTAGAACTATAGGGGAACCAAATAAGACATCAGTGTAAAAAAATAATAACAGTACAAAACACAACAAAGCAAAAAGGGACAATTATAAATCAGAGACATACTGCAGGGGAGGAGGAGGGAGAGGGATCAGAGAGTGGGAGGGAGTTGCACAGGGGACTGAGGTGATGGTGTACAGGTGCATTGGTGAAGGAAATTCTATGGGGACTATACCTGAGGGGATGGGGGAAAGCATATATTGTTTAAAAATGAACAAAGATTTAAAAAATAAAAAATTTAAAATTTAAAAAATAAATGATTATGAATTTACAAACTTCCAGAACTTATGAAACACAGCAAAAAACAGTACCCCCAAAACCAGTAGAAGGATGGGAATCATAAAGGGAAGAACAGATAAGTTAATGGAAATCAAAAGGATAGTCCAAAAGATCAACCAAAACCAAAAGCTGGTTCTTTAAAAAATTAACAACATAGACCTCTAGCAGGCTCACAATGAAAAAAAAAGGGAGAAAATGCAAATAAATAGGATTGAAAATGAAAGAAACATATGTGGCAGAAATTCAATGATAATAAGAGATTACCATGAGTATTTATAACCAAATAAATTCAACTTATAGATGAGATGGACAAATTCATAGAATTACATAATCATCCCAGGATGAATAAGGAAGAAATAGAAAGCCTGAATAGACCAACCACAAACCAAAAAAATGAAACAGTAACAAAATTTCCAAAGAAATGAAATTTCAGAACTAGATGGCTTCATAAGCACATTCTACTAAATTTTTGAAGATTAGCTAATATCTATCCACCTTCCACTTATGATGAAAACCACCACAAAACTGGAAATAAATGGAAAATATTTTAATATAATAACAGACATATTACAAGTATACAGCTAGTGTCATTCTCAATGGTGAAAAACTGAAAGGCTTTCCACTAAGATCCAGAAGAAGCCAAGGATGTTCACTCTTACTTCTACTATTCAACATAGTTAGTATTGAAATCTAGAGTAATTAGGCAAGAGAAAGATGTAACAGGAATCCAAATTGAGAAAGACGAAGAAGAGCTATGATTATTTGCATGTGACATAATATAGAGAGAGAACTCTAAAAACTCCATGGAAAAATGAATTAAAACAATAAACCAGCTCAGCAAAGTGTCAGGGTACAAGGTCAACACACACACACACACACACACATATAGAATTGTGCCATTCTTTAAGCAAAAAGTGAGCTTGAACATGAGGAAATTCAGAAAATGAGTCCATTTACAATCACACCAAAGAAAAATTAAATACCTAGAAATAAGCCCAACAAAAGAGATTATCTATCTATGGAAAGAAAACTAGAAGACATTATTAAAAGAAATTTAAAAAGACACAAAGTAATAATAAATATATTCTCTGCTCATGGGTTGGAAGAAACATTGTCAAAATCGCCATCCTACTGAAAGCAATTTACAGATTCAAAGCAATCCCAACAAAAATTTTAATGGAATTTTTCAAGTAAATGGAGCAAACATTATGGAACTTTATATGGAATTACAAAAGACCCCAAATAGCCAAAGCTATCCTGACAAAAAAAGGGGAAAAATGGGTATTAGGATTCCAGACTTCAAACTATACAGAAGTCTAGATATAGACAGCCCAAATTCCCATAACTAAATGAATGGATCAAGAAGATGTGGCATAAACACACAATGGAATACTACTCAGCCATCAAAAGAGATAAACTCGTGCCATTTGCAGCAACATGAATGGCGCTAGAAGGGCTTATACTAAACAAAATAATTAAGGGGAAAGACAAATACCAATGGCTTCACTTCTATGTGAAATACAAAAGTACCAAAGAGTCAGACAAAGACAGACTTTAAAACCAATCCTTGAAGGTCCTCCCTGGTGGCACAGTGGGTTGAGTGCTGCACTGTGAAGCTGTCCGAATCCTCTGCAGCCTCTACAGCACAGGTTCAGTTCCCAGCTAGCTAGGGAGAAACCCACATGGCGTGGCAGACCTCTCCTGCCTCGCTCGCTGCTTCCCTTAGCAGTGTCTTCTGTCGTCTGTCTGTTCAGCTCCCCACTCTGTCTCTGGTGAATTCTCTCACCCTTCCACTCCTCT